TGAAACTATTCAACATGATACAGACCAATTGATGACTGACTTAAATCAACCTTAGTGGAGAATGTTTAAAAAGATAGCTGATGTATTTTCACAGCGTACATTCACTGTCAAAAACACAACAATGAAGGTGACATACAGCCACAGTCCAAAGGTTATAAGGTCCCTTTGAACACCTTGAGATGCATTTTTATTCAGGGTCTATTCTTTATGGGATTTGAATATGTTTAGTAACTATATATCTATTTTCAGCATAGGTTGAAAATGTTAAGATCCTGATGCTTGGAAAGATTGAGGGCAGGAAAAGAAGGTGGCAACAGATGATGAGAGAGTTGGATGGCATCACCGACTCAAAGCACATGAGTTTGAACAAACTCCGGGAGATGGTGAAGGACAGGGAAGCCTGGCGTGCTGCTATCCATAGAGTTGCAAAGAGTTGAATATGGCTTAGTAACTGAATAATAACAGAAATTACAGTTGCTAAAAAGCTGCTTGATTTTGTTTCCAAGCCATATCAACTTTTTATAAAGTGACCAAGACATACACTTCACAGGACTCATTACATTAAAAAAAAACCTTTTAAAGCATAAACAGTTACTCAAATACTACACTATCATTATTAACTACAATCTCCTGGAAAGGTAGAAAGATTCAGTGTCATCCTTACATTATAACTAACAAAGATTTCAGAAAACCTGGTGCCCCCTTTTTCAAAGGACCTCCCACCAGCCTTCTTGGCCATCTGGTTCACTCCCTTTGAGCCAGTCATATCTATTGTTTCCAATGAATTGGTAGCTGGAAGACTGGTACCTTCAGGAATTTTTCCTTCTTACTAGACTCTTCTCTGCTGCATGAAGACATGGCAAAATATTTCAACGGGCTCATGTACTATTACCAGTCTTATCACCAATGGGTTAAGCTCATCTTTCCAGAACATCTCTCTTCATAATGTTCAACCAGATTTCATGTACTAGAAGGCTGCTGTTTATTCCCTAAGTCATGTCTGACTCTTTGCACCCCATAGACTGTACCCCACCAGGCTCCTCTGTGTATGGGATTTCCTAAGTAAGAATACTAGAGTGGGTTGCCATTTCCTTCTCCAGGGCACTAGAAGACACATCAGAGAAAAAGCGATCTTGAGCTGACCTTTGAACACCATCAGATGGATTTTATCCAGATTCCACTCTCCAGGGGATTTGAATATGTTTCAGTTATTGTATCTTAACAGTTAACAGCAAATCTTGGTGTTAACAACATATACAGCTGTGAAATTCCAGGAAGTCAATCCTTAGGTTGACATTTGACAATTAAAGAATAAATTAAAATTTGAAGACATGATTTGAAGACTTTTCTGAGAGACGGTACCGTGCTAAGGATTCTCAGAGATCCACTGCCCTTAGTCTTATAGACTGCCAGATTCATCCATCACCAAACTCTCTGACAAATTGCCTCTAGGTAACTCTGGTCTCATCAAATGAAACCATAGAGAACTATACCTGATAGTACTTCCACTTGCCCCTCCATGGGCAAATGACCTTAAACAAACACATCTATAACCAGTAAGTGTTAGTAATTCAGTCATGTCCAACTGTTTGAGACTCCCATGGGCTATAGCCCACCAGGCTCCTCTGTCCATGGGATTTCCCAGGCAAGAATACTGAAGTAGGTAGCCATTCCCTTCTCCAGGATACCTTCCTAACCCAGTGATCAAACCCAAACCTCTTGCATTGCGGGCAGAGGCTTTACCATCTGAGCCACCAGGGGAGCTTATCTATAGTAGTCCTTATTAAATATTAGTAACCAAAGGTCTTTTAGACCTATTTTTTAAAAAAGCCCTTTGCAGCTCACATAGACCCAGAGGGTAGAGAAATGTCTTCTAGTCATTTTTTTTTTAAGAGCTATGCTGATAGCAGCTAGACTTGAAAAGGAAGTACTATTTAACTGCTCACATCCAGCAGTGACTGAGGCAAACCAGAAAAAGAGCCAGTTGCTACAATCTGTTTGTTAGACCTCAGTTCATTCTAAACTTGAATTCAACAACCTTCATAGGACAATAAGCTAATTATTTGCCAGCTAGAAGACACTGGTAGAGATCCAAGTATATAGCCCAGATAATGTAAGGCCTTAGTTCTGACCTTATGTAATTACATCTTTTCTTCTGGATATACACATGTCCTAACCAGGTACTACTTCCTTTGTGATCAAGATACCTGGAGCTGTTTGTCTCAGACTTAAGCTTCCTGTACTTCAGGATAGTATTTCCAAATTTGTCTGTACAAACACACTACTTCCATAGATAACCAAGGTAGGATATTACAAACAACACACGAGCTATAAAACAAGGCCATTCTTAGCTATGGAGGCAATCTACCTGGGAGAAATACTGACTCATTGTTTCTGTGAACAATCAGAGCACTGTTCCCAGTGGAACGGAATTGTGCAAACAGAAAAGGTTGCAACAAATTGGTCCGTCACTTTGAAAATATTAATGATAATACTTTTGCAACTAACAGAATACAGATCAGTCTCAACATGTTGTCAAAAGTCATGATGAACAATTACCTTGGGCTAGATTTCCTCTTAGCCAGTCATGGTGGTGTCTGTACCATGGCTAACCCTTTGTGTTGTTTTGGACCAATGGAACAGGTGAGGCATAACAGACTGCACACTGCCTTAAGGAAAAAGATACTTGGCACCCTAAGTTGTTTCTCATGCCCCATGGGGTTTGTTTTCTTGACCTGAGTTGGGCAACTGGGGTTACTGCTTCCAAAGTATCTTACAGGGAATGTTATTTGTTGTTGTGTGTATGTGTGTGTGTGTGTGTGTGAGAGAGAGAGAGAGAGAGAGAGAGATAGTGGTCATGATGCTGGTTTGATGATTTATTCCAGAATCTTAAATCTTCTATGCAGTTGCTCTCTTGCCCAATAATCACTGTGATGACACAACAACAAAAAAGGTCAAGAAGATCTCTAAATATAGGTGACCAAGGAGAAATATGGACCACCCCCAAGGAGTAAACATCTAGAAATTTAGCCTACCCTGGACTGTTCAACTTCTCACAAGCAAGAGGGGAGATTAAGACTTGGATACACAAACAAATGCTTGAATGTACAAATAAACAATGACTAGGCAATAAACAGGCTTCCCTGATGGTAAAGAATTGGACTGCAATGCAGAAGACCTAGGTTTGATCCCAGATTCAAAAAGATCCCATGGAGTAAGAAAAGGCAACATGTTCCAGTGTTTTTGCCTGGGAAATCCCATGGACAGAGTAGCCTAGCAGGCTACAGTCCATGGGGTTGCAAAAGAGTCAGAAATGACTTAGTGACTAAAAGCAAAAACCTGTATTTGATCTATAAAAATGGCAGTTTAAATCTAATCATTAATCTCATTCACTGAGGAAGTTCTAATAAAAGAAAAATGAATCAGAGGTGACTATTTCCTAAATTAGATGTAAAAGATAAGATTGAATTAGACCTATTTTTCTAAGAAAATGAACATCGTAGTATTTGAATACTATTGCCTTTATACTAATAAATCAATTTTAGGTATATGCTTATGGCATCATTATCCTATTGACCTTGACAGTTTATTGAAACAAGCTTTGGCTTGTTAGTTCTCTATTGGTCATGATATAAGCACGAGTTTTTATCATTTATTGTTCACATGAATTAAAGACTGCAAAAATATTTTTCTTAAAGATGAGGTATCACTAAGTACTCATTTTCAATTATTGCTATTTCTTTCATCAACGTGTATTGGGTCCATAAAAGTGAATACAAGATGAAAATCATTTCATGTGAAAATATTCCCTTTAAATTGGTTATAGTTTTATATACCTTAGTTTAGTATCTATGTTCATAATAAAAGTCTGTGTCAAATATTTCTTTTGTTAATAGTAATCATATTGGCTATAAAATTGAGAACAAAATACAATACTAATTCACTTTTGATTTGTTCCAAGTGTTCCTTTAGATTACATCACTTTTTATGGTAATTTATATGAATAAAAAATACTGGAACTCAACAGCTTTTAACTAGTTGAATTTTTTTCCTCTAACTCAAAAGCATATTTAAGTCTATTTTTAGAGATATTCCCTCATACAAAAATTTTTAATTGCTAAATGTGATCTAACCTAATTTCATTTCATATCAAGTCCAAATATATGACTGAAAAGTATAATCTTTCAGATTATTTGGAATAGTTTAGATCCTCTTGACATTCTATTCCCAAGTCTAATTATATGAAAAAGATACAGACATGAATAAATCAATATGATCATGGGTTGTGTAGTACTTATAATATTTACCATTAATAATCTGCATATAAATGGACACACAATTCAAACCTGATGTTCAAGGGTCAACTATACTGCATTTTGTTTGTCAGCTAATGGATATTTGGATCATTCTACTTTGTACTTATTATCAATATTCCTGCCATGAAAACTTGTATACCTGGAGTCTTAAGAGACACAGGGGCTGAATTGCTAGAGTATATGGTAAGTCTGTATATAAATTACATATAAGAAATATGTGAGTGAGTCTGTGTGTATATGTATGTGTGTGTATGTCCTGTGTGTGGAGGTTGGTACCTGTGTATGCGATGGACTGTTTTATGAGATGAAAGTAATAGAAGAGAAATCATTCAATGGAAATTAAATATAAAAATAGTCATATTTTAACAACAATTATGTTTATTTTAGTTTTTTTTTACACACAAAATAGACCTAGAGACATGACATTTATAGTCTGTGATATCCTTTTAAAGTGTTAAGTCAAAAGTACTCTCCTTAACTTACTCTTCCACCTATATCCCAAGCCTAAACTCTATTTATCACTTATTCTAATGAAAAACAACAACTTTGTTACATTTAAGTCTTCCTCATTCTCTTATGTGTATTTTAGTTTTAATCAACAATTATAACATTGTTTCTTTTATGTAGTTCATGATATATTCCTGCTCATGTGCTTCAGTTGGGAAAGACCAGCCTGCCACCTACCTGTGTAGAATGGATGAGAAGAATATCAGATCACATGATCTCCTGAGCAAGCAAAGTGGTACAGCAAAGCTGAAGGAGGGAAAACACACCTCAGTCCGAACTCATCCACTACTGGCCTCACTTAGAACCACAGTTGTTGCTAAGTCTTGTCTAGCTCTTTGTGACCCCACGGACTGCAGCACACCAGACTTCCTTGTCCTTCACTATCTCCTGGAGATTTTTCAAACTAATGTCCATTGAGGCTTCCCTGGCAGCTCAGACAGTGAAGAATTTGCCCGCAATGCAGGAGACCAGGATTTGATCCCTGGGTCGGAAAGATCCCCTAGAGAAGAAATTGGCAATCCACTCCAATATTCTTGCCTGGAAAATCCCATGGAGAGAGGAGCTTGGCGGACTATAGTCCATTGGGTCTAAAAGAGTCAGACACAACTGAAGTGACTTAGCACATACACTGAGTCTGTGATGCCATCCAACCAGCTCATCCTCTGTCATCCTTTTCTCCTCGAGCCCTCAATCTTTCCCTGCATCAGCGCCTTTTCCGCTGAGTCGGCTCTTAGCATCAGGTGGCCAAAGTATTGGAGCTTCAGCTTCAGCATCAGTCCTTCCAATGAATATTTGGGTTGATTTTCTTTAGGATTCACAGTTTTGATCCCCATGCACCCCAGGGGACTCTGACAATGAGCTATTCCCGGAGAGTGGAAAGTGATCAGATCATGGAAGAGGAATTGTGGTAAGGTGAGTTAATATCTTAGTAAATTTACTACGTCAGATGGCAGATCAATACATAAATTATAAAGCAATGTCATTCAATGTGAATTGCCAGCAACAATAGGCAGATTTTTTGACGATAAGCTTCTCTTTTATATCCCTTCACTTATCTGTTAGTTGAAAATGCAAATCCAAGTCTCTAATATGGAGAAAATATTCACTCAATGCTGCTTAAAAATCAAAAATTAAAAGAAAAACTTGCTCTGATAAAGCTGCCACCAACATTCAGAAATATATGTGTATTCATATGCTTCTTTTTCTCCAGCAGATCTAGACTATTTGGTATACGCAGAATATCCAGTGGCATTCTGATTTTAAAATATACAATGCTGATGCATCAAATTTCAGGCTGAAATTTACAATATTAAAAGCAAGCATTTTTTACAGAGTAACTTTCTGCAGTTATCACATTTTGCATAATCATTTTGACTGATGTCAAGTAATGCTTTTCAACAAGTGTCCTCTACCATTCAATGATGAATTTAGAAAAAAATAGGAGGTATGTCAATATCAGTGTGGTATTCTTTTTTTTTTTTTTTTTTTTTTTTTTTTTTTTTTTTTTTTTTNGCGGGTTTAACCCCTGGGTCAGGAAGATTCTGTCGTGGAGGGCAAGGCAATCCACTCCAGTATTCTTGCCTGGAGAATCCTATGAACAGAGGAGCCTGGGGATTACAATCCATAGGGTCACAAAGAGTTGGATACAACTGAAGCAAGTTAGCATGCACACGTGCAGCATGAGGGTCTAATGGTTCTCTATTATTCAGTTCAGTTCAGTCGCTCAGTCATGCCTGACTCTTTGTGACCCCATGGGCTGCAGCATACCAGGCTTCCCTGTCCATCACCAACTCCCTAAGTTTACTCAAACTCATGTCCATTGAGTCAGTGATGCCATCCAACCATCTCATCCTCTGTCATCCCCTTCTCCTCCTGCCCTCAATCTTTCCCAGCATCAGGGTCTTTTCCAACAAGTCAGTTGTTCGCATCAGGTGGCCAAAGTATTGGAGTTTCAGTTTTAGCATCAGTCCTTCCAATGAATAGTCAGGACTCATTTCCTTTAGAATGGACTGGTTGGATCTCCTAGGAGAACAAGGGACTCTTAAGAGTCTTCTCCAACACTACTGTTCAAAAGTATCAATTCTTAGGTGCTCAGCTTTCTTTATAGTCCAACTCTCACATCCATACATGAATACTAGAAAAACCATAGCTTCGAGTAGACAGACATTTGTTGGCAAAGTAATGTCTCTGCTTTTTAATATGCTGTCTAGGATGGTCATAACTTTTCTTTGAAGGAGCAAGCATCTTTTAATTTCATGGCTGCAGTCACCATCTGCAGTGATTTTGGAGCCCCCAAAAATAGTCTGTCACTGTTTCCATTGCTTTCCCATCTATTTGCCATTATTAACATTGGGCAAAAGACTTGGAGTATAAAAAATATCCAGCAACATCAGATATTTCATATAATTTTATCTTTGCATGTAATTTTGTCTAAATACAGTAAAAAACAAAAGAAGATGACTCAGTATTTGTCTCATGAGATGGCCATCAGAATCCCTTGGCAAACAGTTAAAACAGTACAGTACCAGGCACACAAAACACACAATTTGTGGGTTCTTTTATCTGTGGGACTGTATTTTATCCTGTCACTCATCTCTTCCTACAACGGGACAGGCGCTCTTCTAAAGACAGGAGCGCTCTGTCTCCTCCCCTGAAACTGGGCGGGGACTCTGGCCCCAGCTGATCAATGGGGCAGAGCTGAAGTGACGCCATCGACTTTCTGAGGCAACATTATTCAAAGAACAAAACTTCTTCCTGGTTCTCTCACTCTTTCTCCTCATTCTCTCTCATACTCACAGGGAACCAGCCACCTTCTTGCGAGGAAGCTCAGCTCACATGGGGAAACCCCATGAAGGTGTCCCAGCTGAAGGTGCCAGGTACGTTTGCAGCCAATAGATAGCATCACACCCAGATGCATGGGCAGGTTCACCTCAAGTGGTCCAGGCTCACAACCTTCACATCTTCCACCAGAGGCTCCATGTATGGAGCACAGGAGAGCTGACCTTACTGAGTCCCCTTCACTTCCTCACCTGCAGAATCTGACAGGTCAATAAAGGATTATTATTGTTTTAAGCCACATAATGTCATGATGATTTGTTATACAGGAAAAGGTAACTAATACAACTTTCTTGAATTTTCTTCAGTGATAAAACCTTTCAAATGGACACCCCCTCAATACAACTGTTACTTAATTAATGTTGATTGATTTGAATGAAAACAAATTTTATTTCACAAGCATAGACCAGGGTATACCCCACATACCAAAATCAGATAAAATTCTTGAATAGAGATCATTATAATAAAGATAATGAGGGACTTCCCTGGTGGTTTGTTGGCTAAGACTTCACACTCCCAGTTCAGAGGGCCCAGGTTTGATTCCTGGTCGGGGAACAAACAACCTGCAAGCTGCAACGAAGACTCAGTGCAGCCAAATAAATAAATACATTTTAAAAGATAATGATAGTTCTAATAATGGGCCCAAAAATGGTGAGGGAGTAAACATAGACAATATAAAATGACAGTTAAAGCCATAACATATGGACTTCCGAGGTGGTTCAGTGGTAGAGAATTCAACTGCCAATGCTAGAGTTGTGGGTTCAGTCCCTGGGTTTAGCAGATACCCTAGAGGAGGAAATGGTAACCCACTCTAGTATTCTTGCCTGAAGAATCCCATGGACAGAGTAGTCTGGTGGACTACAGTCCATACGATCACAAGGAGTTGGATAGGACAACAAAGTCATAGTATATATGTCTTATATCTGTTGTCAAATGCTAGTGAAAACATATAACTTATAAAAATCATATTATTTTTTTATTTTAAATTATTAGTATTGCAGAAGAATTTCTTTTTAATTTTTGGCCATGCCATCCGGTATGCAGGATCTTAGTTCCTCCACCAGGGATCAAACCCACACCCCCTGCAGTGGAAGCATGGAGTCAACTTCTGGACCACCAGGGAAGTGCCTCAAAGAATATTTTAATAGAAATGATTCATGTCTCTATGTTGTTGCCACCCTCACTGAGCCTCAGCCAGGAGCACAGTGGTAGCCTGTGATCCCACGTAACATAGTGTCCCACTAGGGAACACCTTTAGAGTCAAGGAGGCATAGGAATAGGACCATTTCCACGAGATCAACTAGTCTCCTCGCATTCCTCTCCACCCAGAGGCGGCTGGTCCAAGAGGAGGACGGAATTGCCTGGTGGGGACACAGCCGGAGTGCCAGCTCAGAGGCGACATGCCCCAAAAATGGATGCAATTCTCCCAAGATACAGAGCATACTTCAAGTCAAAAGCCTTTCTATGTAACTGAGTCTCTGAGAAGAATACGCTGGTCAGGCATCAGAGGGTAAAGACAGGAGAGTCTCGTTTTATGAGTTGTGTTTTCTGTCCCTGCTTTGCTGGGCTCTGCGGGTTTCAGGACACCTCCACCCAGGGACCCACTAGCTGTCACTATCCGACAGGCCCTCCAGGCAAGAGCAGAAGTGTATTCATTTCCCACATTTGTTGCTGTTGTTGTTCAGCCCCTAAGTTGTATCTGACTCTTGGCGACCCCATGGATTGCAGCACGCCAGGCCTCCCTACCCTTCGCCATCTCCCAGAGTTCATCAGAGTTCATTTCCATTGAGTTGGTGATGTCATCCAACCAGCTCATCCTCTGCTGCCCTCTTCTCCTTTTGCCTTCAATTTTCCCCAGCATCAGGGTCTTTTCCAATGATGCTGTGTGCATTAGGTGGCCATAGTATTGAAGCTTCAGCTTCAGTATCCATCCTTCCAATGAATATTCAGTCCTTCAGGACTGACCAGTTTGAATTTCTTGCTATCCAAGGGATCCTCAAGAGTCTAGTTTTGCCATAACACAAATGACCACGTATGGGGGCTTAAATCAACAGAAATGGATTCTCCCACGGTTCTGGAGTCTTGAAGTCTGAAATCAAGGTGTTAGTAGGGCTCTGCTTCTGAAGGTTCCAGGAAGAATCTATCTTTGTTTCTTCCCAGCTCCTGGTGTCTCCGTGGGGTCCTTAGTTGCATCTTGAACTTCTGCCTCTGTCTTCACATGTCTTCTTTCTTGTGGGCCTCTGTGCATTCTTTCCTCTAATAGGGACCCCACACTGGATTTAAGGCCACCCTAACCCAGTATGACTTCATCTTCAGTTCATTGTTGACAACAGCAAACATTCTATTTCCAAATTAGGTCACAACCTGAGCTTCCAGGTGGACTTGGCTCTTCGGGAGACACTGTTCACACACTACAAGGAATCACATTCCTGGCAGAGGCCACTGACTTTGATCATCAGAAGAGTAGGAAAATATG